CAAATTTACTCGGATCTTACAGGCCCAAACTTACCGAAAGCCTTACTACCACCTATAGAGTGTAAAGCAGGGTCCAAACGAATCACTACGAAGTTATGTTTTGAAATTCAACTCAGAGTCTTTAAAAGTAATTGCCCTTAATGAGAAGTTTGTCCACATAGCCTTTACCACCAGGCTAGAGGTCCAATCGAAGGATTTATTATTTTTGGTTGCCAAGAACCCCAAAGTCAATATGGCCGAGATGTTGACAAAAGCAGCGAAATACATTAATGGTGAAGAAGCTCTCTTCTTAAAATTTGAAAACTCCTCTACTCAGGAGGAGAAGGAAAATAGGAGAGATCGAAACCCTAGGAAGAACAGTGCGTAATCACAAAGGTGGTTAGGCAAAAAACTATGAGTTGCAAACTAAAGAATGAAAAATCCTACCTCACTCGTGGAACACAAATCATTTGAAGAGGTTTTACTAGTAGTGAGGTGAGGCTAGAAAGTAGAAGATGAGAGGTTTTTTTTTGTAAAAATTCTCCATCAATGAATGAAAGATTCAACTCATTTAGAGAACGTGACGAATTCTTAAGCTCATAAATATACGATGAGCTCTTATGTTCATAAACTCAAGATAAGCTCTCCAGCTCATAAACTCAAAATCAGTTCTCCAGCTCATAAACTCAAGATTAGTTTTTTAGCTCATAAATATACAATGAGTCCTTAAGCTCATAAACTTAAGATGAGTTCTTTAGCTAAAAAACATACAATGATCCCCTAAGCTCATAAATTTTCGATAAGCCCAAGTCAAAGGGACCATGCAGACCTTAGGCTTGGCCCTATATACAAGTAGTATTAAAGAAGCAATATCTTAAGTAAAATACGAGCAGAGTTATCCATAACCAAAAAGTGTAGGTCATTCCCGATCCACGTCAGGCAAGGCAGACTTGGCTCAGGACTGAGGGACAACTGATGATACTAAAAATTATCCAAGGTTAAGCTCGGCTCAGAAGCATCTCAAAGACATGCCCCTAATAGGGACCCACATGATAATGTCAGAATCTAGGTTCCAATTCGAGACAACAAAAATCGAGTGAACAAGCTGAACTCCTAATCCCTAACTCTCCATGTTGTTACACTAGCTCAGGTCTCCCACCTTATTGGCACAGATCAAAAATCATCGTCAACGTGACCCTCGTGTACACTGTGACAATGATAGCTCACACATTCTAGAAGGTCACGTCTAGGGAATATAGTCTCTAACGACCAAACATTCTCAGCACATGGATTGTACCAACCCCAAGAAGATCACGTTAATTATGCAATGATCCCCACTATTATGCAAGGATCACGACGGCTACATAGGGATTACGATGATTACGCGAAGCTCCTACACACTATAATAGGGACTGATCCCGTGCTTTGTAAAGGATCTAAGATTTGAGAGTAGATTCTTTGTAGTTTTGTAATC